CCTCGTAAGGAGTACATAAAATTGGGGTTTTTACGGCCCAAATGAAGCACGACACACTTGTCAATATTTAACGGAAGTAGTCATTCTTCGCACTAATTAGCAATAGATATTAAGTCTTGTAAGGACAAATGGTCAGTCAGAGGGTTGGAATATAGTTTAGTGTCGTCTGCAAAAAAAGATAATTTGTTGACGACGTGATATTGTATGTCACTGGCATAAATTAAAAACAGTAGAGGTCCCAACACTGAGCCCTGTGGTATGCCACTAAGAACTGGTCTTTCGCGAGAAAAAAAATCACCTACTCTAACTCTAAAATATCTGTCTGTTAAAAAGCCTTCGATCCATTGGTTTAAAGTATCCCGAATGCCCACATGATCCAGTTTGTATATTGCGGCCTTTGACAAATCCGTGTTGCTGATTCGGTATGACATTTTCGTGCAGTAGGAAGTTTGTCATAGCTTTTACAATGATAGATTCCATTATTTTACAAATTGTTGGAGGAGGAGATTGATCGGTCGATAGTTGTTGGGATCCAGTTTGTCTCCCTTCTTAAAAATCGGTGTGACAGAAGCCTGCTTCCACAGGGGCGGAACAACGCCGCTTGTAAATTCCGACATGATCAAGGACAACAGCACGACAAGAGCATCAACACAATTTAGAAGATGATAAGGCGACAGGCCATCCAAACCGGGAGAGGCGTCTTTCCGAAGGTTCAACAAATGTTTTTTAATTAAAACTGGAGTAAAATCAATACGCTCTAAGCAGGCCATAACACGCGGCCCGATATTGGGAGGGAGTGGTTCATGAAGAGGTAAAAACTTTACAGAAGGCAAGAGAGGGCATTTCTGAGGTATCTTGGTTAGTTTCACATATTTTACCATTTTCTCCACGTAGAAGAGGTGTAGAAATTTTAGAGTTCAGAGATGACCTGATGTATTTGAAAAGTTGTTTATAATTATCACTATAAATGATGGATTCTTCAAAAACTTTTTTTGATGTAATCAAATGCTTCTTTACGTCGTTGGAAAAATTGTAGTAAATACATAAAACTTGGTATGGGGGAGTATCTGTTCGCAAATTTGCTATAAATTATTGGACAGCGCTATATACTTACAGTGCATTTAAATGGGGTCAAAAACGTTCTTATTTTGTATACACAAAGTATTGCTCATGATTTCAACTCAATCCGTGAGCGGTTTTCAAACTATATGATTTTTAAAATGCGAATATTTGTCCGTGCAATACAATGATGATGAAAGTAGAGACTACTGATTTTAGATCCGCACGACAGAATTACGCAGACATTATTATTATTTTCTTAGGTGTATTCACACTAGTGCTCTCACACTGGGGAACAATACAAGATTTGTATTTTTTTCCTGTTATGTGTCTTCCATATTGCTAACAAAATTCGGTATCAATCAGAACTTAACAGTCAACTAAAACATGCAGTTTCCCATGCGATGACGTCACACCCACCGGTTCAGTTTTTTGAATGACTTGTAGGTGATATGAAATTCTAGTTTTTTGCAGAGAACCTTAAAATGGTAATATCTTTCCGTTAAGCACATACTTAAAAAAAATTGCTGAATGAGCCACTATCATAGATAACTTTTGTGTCTTGGTGTCCACGTCTTTTATAAGAAATACCAGATAAATGTAGTTTTGAACAACCGTTTTTTATATCTTCCTTGCTTACTATTTTGTTCAGGTTTAGGACTGCTCCAAACTAGTTCTAGAATTAAAAAAAAAATTAAAGAACAATGGGTCAACAACGACAGGTTTGTTGAAAACAACGCGAAAAGAATAAAAATTACAAAATGAATTTTGAAGATTAGTCGAAAAAGAAGAACTGGATTAAGTTAATTTAAATTACTCAAAGTAGATGTTCACAATATTCAGATCTGGTATTTCAGATAATTTATCTGAAATACTTCTGACACTTTATTAGATAGTATTCTAAATAATTAAGTTTTTACAACATAATTTAATAAAATAAACTATTTTATTGATACGTGTGAAATAAAAAGGAAAATAATTTTTATACATGATTACAATTATTGTCATAGTTTGTTGCCTAAAAAGGAGAACCACAATGTAGTTTGAAGAAATAAAGTGTCACTTTTAATTTTTATCGATCAGTTTTGCATTACAAGATTTTAAACGATACATTTCTTTTCTAATTTAAAAAAAATATAATCAACAAGTAGTTTCCATTTAGAGCCGGTTTTAGTGAACTTAAATGGGAGGTTCCGAAAATAAACTGTAATTTACGTTTACCTTCAGCCCATGTGTGCCTGTCAGTTCCCTGCTGTTTACATCACCGTTTGTTATCCTTTGTATTCTAAAAATATTCCAAAAACTGCGTTCGGTAGCGTGTCAACAGGTTAGATTCTAACGAAAGTTGGACATGCTTTGCGCGTTTTAACATAAATTGAACTTAAACTGAGGGATAATTATTTGCTTCAGATTTGCTGTGTCATCCTGCGATTGTCGATTGTAGAAAAACCGCCCCGTGATTGTAGTCCTTTTATTTTGCAAAAATGCAGAATTTTTTTAAATGTTCGAATGTGATTATAATAAACACATTTAAAATCAAACAAATAGTGTTTTGTTCATGTATACTTGCTACTATTATATTAAATTTAGTAAATACTACTACATAATTGTTTTTTGATGAGGGTCGCTTGGTTTTGCGGAATTACCTATTAATTTACATAAGAATTAACTGATGCCGACGCCTTCACGTTTTGATGGAAATTAAGTGAAAATAAAACCAATCTACTTTGTATTCAGGAACAGATACCGGGTGAAATTTATGTGGGTTTATTAGGTAACACAGTAACGAATAATTATTGTGTACATTCCGCAGGAAAAGAAAGTATTGAGATAAGGAGCACTTTCCTAGCCTTTATAAGAAGACTTATTATGACACTTTTTCTTGGTTTAAACAGACTTGTTTGAAAATGTATAATCTTTTGATTTGAATGGGGATATCATTCGCGTAAAAAGTTGTATTAAAAATTTACACGATTATAGGTAGTGTCGTGATACTTACTTCAGATTTCGCCCATGTTTTAAATCTGCCAACGAACCACCCAAACCACAGAATTTTCATGTCAAAGCACTAAAGGCAAGTTGCCAGAGCAGGTCTAAGCAGCCCTCCAACCAGGAACATGAAAATTCGCGGATGTTTCGAAAACATGCCTGAAAGGGAACCGCGACAAACGGTCTTCCACGACGTGCAAGACGTTCAATATATTGTACGAACACACCCAGACCGCACTCGTCAAATGGCCTCAAGCAACGAATTAAGAAAATCGCCTTCTGAAAATTTTCACCCACCTTTTAAATCACCACCCCGGTGACAGCGGATAAAAAACCCGAACCACTTCCTAAGTGAAAAATAATTAGTGTAGTGCTCAAACGGCCGACAACAAATAGATCTCCTTAAGAGTATTTGAACGAATCGTAAATCTCACCTGTCCTCGATGCTGGCCGCAGGGCATGGCGCCCAACATGGGGCTAGGTAGTCATATCAAACCGAAACCACATCCAGCATTCCGCGACATGGCGCCCAACGTGGGGCTATGTCGCCATATGAAACAAGTGCCAGCGTTTCGCGACAGTAGCACTAGAAGAAGAAGAAGAAGAGTTGACTAGGATTAATGTAGAAAATACAACTACAATTTGTGCCACACATAACCAACAAACTGTATTTAAAATGTTGTATATAACTTTATTCCAAATTTGTTAAATACGAGGCCTGTTCAAAAAATGATTTGACTTTATCTTTTTAAACATTGTTATTAATTTTACACATTATTGGTCCTTGTCTCCTTCAAAGTATCATACACTTTTCCCAGCGGTGTTTCTACTTCGCGAAGCAGTCCTGGATACCTTTATTTGAAGTAGCCTTTAGTGTGTGACGAATTTGCTTTGATGTCTTAAAACTGCGTTCTTTCAGCACTGATTTTAATTTTTGGAAACAAGAAACGGTCTCGACACAACTCTGGTCTTTTTTTGAGGATTTTTTTCTTGTAAGTGTTGTAAAACGCCTTGATGGTACACACGGTTCACTGTTTCATCCTGAGGCAAGAATTCAAAATGCACAATTCCATTAACGTCGAAAAAATGAGCTTTCTTGGGGCGTGGAGGGTTGCGATGATTGAACTTTTGTCTCAATGTCGTAGCCGTAAACCCAAGTTTCGTCTTCTGTTATGACCCTTTGAATGCATGTTATTGGATGTTCAAGGAGTTGCCGACAAACGTCCTCATGATTTTCTTTCTGTTGTTCGGTCATCAAACGAGGGACAAATTAAGCCGCTAACCTCTTCTGCAACTTCTCTGACAGTCAATCGACGATTTGCACGCACCAGATCTTTGATTTTCTGAACGTGAGAGTCTAGCAGTTGAAGTGGATCCTCGTCGAAGATCATCTTCAACTGACTGACGACCACTGTCAAATCGTGAAAACCATTCGTAACATTGCGTACGACCCAGAGCATCATCTTGGCAAGCTCGTTTCAAAAGTTGAAACGTTTCCGTGTTTCCCCATTTCACGCAAAATTTTACGTTGCATCGCTGTTCCAGAAAATCGTACATTTTAAAAATCGTCACTAACACGTTGCACTCAAATAGCAATATCACGAAAACTAAATGAGATATCAACAATCCAAGAACATGTGGTTACAGATGAGGTTATGCTCAATGCAATGCTGCCAATCGCATATCACTAAATATTTCTACTAGCGCATCATTCAAAAAGTTCAGTTATTTTCTGAAGAGATTTAAAATATTCATCTTCTATTTTGCGTAATTGTTAAATAAATAATAATAAAACCTTAAAATTTCATAGATTTTCAACGAAACTTTCTATATAATTACCTACTCAAGATTTTGCTACCACTTTAATGTTGAAAAATTGTAAGATAATTTACAAATTTTGTTGTGAGTACAGGGAGAAATGTTCTAATACTGTTATTTTTTGTTGCAGGAGACTCGTTAAAAGTTATCAACCTAAGAAGAAAGACGAAGAAGATTACCAGTAAGTATATACTTAATTCTATAACGTTAATGTCAGGTCGTATGAAATTTCGTAATTCAAGTTTAACGATTATTGACACAGCGCATTGCAAAAGCTCCAAATTAAAATGAATATTATGGTAATTGAAGTAAATTTACATCCACAGCGGACACCTACGTGATCCTTATGTTTTTCGGTTGTCGACCCGTGTTGCGAAAGTAAGAGGAAAATAGTACTGGAATACCGTTTTAGGTAGGCTTTGAATTTTGATCTTTGAAAAATTTGCCAGAATATGTGGGAATGATATTTTAAATGAATCACAAGAGTAGGTGTAAGATCATGAATTGATGACATTGCTTTCTGAAGAGCAATTACCTAGGTTCGATTATATTTTTTTCGTTTCTGGACAATTTCTTTCTGCCTTGTTTCAATTAAAATTCTTCTGTTTTGCTTGCATCGCATCTATTGTTAAAAAAGGTAAAAAAACATTATTAAATTTACACGCGATTCAGCAACTTATTGTTTTCAAAGTAATATTTAAAGAAAATTGGTTGTAAGTATCAAAACACTAAAAAATCACTAAGTAGAGGAATTGTATATTATTTTAAAGGAAAATGCACTAAAAGTATACGTTCTTGCACCGCAATGTTGATAATTACCTACACAGACCCACAAAATAAAAGTCGTGTTCCAGAGAAGCAACCTATGTACTCCTATGTATTTTTTTCTGCTGAATCCAATCCTGTTGTCAGAATTGGCTTATCACTCATTAAATTTGACATAACCTCAAAAAATAACTCAAAATGACCTGATTTTCGAAAAAGAAGTTTATTAAAAACTTTAGCAAACCATACTCCTATATATTTTTTGGAGTATTGATACCGAATACTAGGTCAAAATTGGCCTATTACCCCTTAACCTCAAAAATTTGCTCAAAAATGACATGATCGTTGATAAAGAGTCAACCATACCATCAATATGTATTTTTCGGTGCCTCAAAAAATATATAGATAGTATGGTTTTGATCGTTTCAGCCTTAAATTAATTATCGATGTCAAAATTAAAGGGTGATAGGCCAATTCTGGCCACTGGAATGGATCCAGCGCAGCGGGAAAGAATACACGGGAGTACATAGGTCGCTTCTCTGGAACACGCTTTTTTTTGTGGGTCTGTGTTATTTATACTGGGTGAGTCGAATTCAATGGGATTTGAGGGCATCTAAAAAACTACTAAAAAAAAACAAACTAATGATATTCTCGAGCTCGATTTTCAAGACAAATCAATTTCCAAATCAGATATTTGTTATCCTCATTTGTTTTTGGGTTACAGGACAATATTAATTTTTGTGACATTTTCGGTCACATGTATACGATTATATAGGGTATTTAAAAAATTTATAAAAAATCCAAAATTTATTCTGTACCTAATTGATTTTTAGCAGAAGTGACAACTTCATTCATTCAGAACACACTGAAAGAACTACAGTGTAACCTCCATTATCCAAACATCCGAATATCCACTTAACCGAACGGAAAAAAATGCAAGACATTATCCGAACGAGCCTCGTTTATCCGAACTGGGTGACCGCGTAGCTCGGGTGATATGCGAAATATGCTGCCGCGCTTGCGTGTGCGACTGGGTTTTCGTCTCGCCCGGCCCAATCGCGGTGGGACAGGAAGATATGATAGATTTAATGACTGACAATGACATCTTGCACAATGTAGAGAATGTGGAAATAGCCGAAGAAGAAAATGAGACCGAAGGAGCTGCCGACAACAAAATAACTCATGGAGAAGCCGTGCAATGTTTTGACAAATGTATAACGTGGGCCAGTGATAATGGCGAAACGTCTCACAACATATTTCTTTTAAAGGAGATGCAGATTAGAGCCCGAAAATTAGAAAGTAAATCCCTTTCACAAAGAACAATAACGGATTTTTTTAAATAAAATATGTTTAAATATGTAGTTTATTAACTTTTTTTTGGTACATATATTTATGTATACATACTTTAATATGTAGTTTAATAAGTGTTTATGTCTTTATATTTTTTTTGTAAGTATTAAAAAAGGTTTTTAGAAAAATAACTGTGTTTCCATTTTAAATTTGATTATCCGAACAAATTGATTAACTGAACAAGACCTTACAATAATTACTTCGGATAATGGAGGTTGCACTGTATTGAGGTATTCTTTGGAATACTTTAAGGTTAAAAGAAAAACGAAAATATACTTAGGTAGTCTGTTCATTATTTGTAAAGTATCTCAAATGTAGCGATAATCCTTAAATACGTAAGTTTTTACCTTTTCGTTCATCAAAATATTTTTTATCAAAAGGCAATAATAGTATCTTATAGAGGATGCTTTGAAGTTGTCAAAACCCTGCTTAAATTTCCTGTGCAGTCATTAGTTCCCGAGTTTTATCGAATTATCAAAGCCACAAAGTTCATATCTGCTTTGAACGATCATAACTGGGCGATAAATAATCATACAAAGATCTTGACCAGCTCAAATTAAAGAGTATGAATGAAACTAAAAGAGGTGATAGGTAGGATTGTCAAAAAAAATTATTGAAACCCATGGACCTTTCAAAAGATAAGCAAAAATTTAGGAAAAAAAATTCCGCTGCATTTCTTATGATTATGATCAACGATAAAAAATGTTGACGTTTTTTGCTAAATTACAGCCTTTTAAAAATCACCTAAAAATTTTCGATTTTTTTTATCCTGTAATTTTTGTGACTAATAACATTTACGAATTTAAGTATATCTGTTTTTGCTAAATACTTGAAAATTAAATGACATATACGAAGAGTGTTTTGAAGTTTTTTTTTTGCTAAACTGTTTTAAGAATTAACATTTAAAAACAATTTGAGACCCCCAAAACACCGTCTGCATGCATACCCATGTTTGTCTTTAGAGGGTCACTGGTTTGTTTGTCGAGTAGGTCGAAACCTTGCATCCAGTGCACGCAAGTTGTTTGACCAGACCACATTCGTCGAAATCTTTTATTCCGACCACAATTTTCATTGTCGTAGTGGAAAATTCCGCAAAAATTCTCGTTACTCGTATCACATATACGGACTGGAACACTTAACGTTTATTGCAGAAAAGATACATCTATGTGAAGTTGTATTAAACCCTACTTGATTATTCATAGGTGCTGAGGAGGGTCACTGATTCTTAGCCCGTGTGGGCTGAAACCTTGCTTGGCATTGGCGAGAGTGGGTTGTTTTGCGGGAACACGGTCTTGAAAATCGTTTCTCTTTGTTAAATTCTCTATAAAAATCGGTTCAAATATGGGAGTTTTCTTGTGTGGGATTTATTTAAATCTTCAGTAGAAGTTCACACGAAACAAATTGTTTTTGCACTTTTTTACGTTGCACCTTGTTTCGATGTAACTCTAGGTTTTGCGATTTTTATGTAAGATGGAAATTTTTTGAGAAAATCTTTTTCTGTCGAACAGATTTACGATATGTTTTTTAGTTTTGGACTTAAGCCAATGTCAAAATTTTTATAGTTTGAGTGACCTCTGTAGAGGCTATATTTGGACTATTTTCTGTAAAGTTGTACCAATTTTTTTCCATAAAATTCAATGGTATATTTAATTTTTATAGTATGCCTCAGATCAAAATTAGTTTTTTTAAGGGAGGCTATAATTGACCATGACCTAGTAAAATAGTGTTTTTTTTTGTGTAAAAGTTAGATATAGTGTTGTTTGCCTACACGCATATAGTTACGTCACTAACGAACGAAACCGACGAAATCAAGTCATAATTACCATATTTCCAGAACTGTTGCATCTTCAACACCTTTACATCATTCATTTTATTGCTTATGACATGGTAGCTTCTTTTCGGCAACTTCCTTTTTTTTTGAAAGCCTGTATTATCGATTCAAAAATGATTTTTCCCTGGTTATTTTTGTGAGAACTTGAACCAACTTTAATTTTTCAGTTTCTATTATTGTCTGCCTCTGTTAAATATTTTTGTGGTTCTATTTATTGAAATTTTAAAATTAAACTGTCACGTCACAAAAAACGTACAAAATACAAAAAAAATAATCCTATAGGTTAAAGAATAGTGTTTGTTTGGCTCTGTTGTGGATCTGGTGCGGCCACCGTTTAGAAATTGCAGAATAACAAATGAGAAGTTGCTTCTAGAAGCTGTAATATACTTTAACTTGATACATTTAAGGTTATATTCACATTCAGATTCCACATACTTCATTTCACTTTTTAACACAGTTCATACTATACGTAAATGTGGATATCACCCGTCTTCTTTCGATCAACTTAAATTGTCTAGTCACAATAATTAAGGGATATATCCCAAATTTTTGGGTATTTTTCAAAGAGCTGTAACTTGGAGGGAAATGGTCGCAGAGAGAACAAAAAAAGGAAATTGAAGCTTCAACTTTTTAGTTTTCGAATCTGCAGCTTAAAATTTTTTAACCACAGCAGTTTTCGAGTAATCCAATGAATACACAAACTTCGCTTGTCTGTAAAAAGGTCTATGGACTACAATATTTTTTTTGGTAATTTCACCGTAAAGCTCTTTTAGATAATTTAAGTCCCTTTAATTTGAGCCATCCCGGACGATGATTTGTCGCGGACTTATCGTCGATTAAAGCAAAAAAGGCGTTTTTGTCAATCAATTACTTGGGAAGTAATAATTATACAAAAAATCCAAGTATGGTTTTGAAAACTAAGGACTATAAAACTTTTCAACCTCTTTTTTACAATAATTAACGTTCTTTGATGAAGAAAATATGGATAATTGCATAGTCCACTGAGTAGTTTTTCACAACGTACAACAGATTTAAAATAAAATAAAAACATAATTTAACTGCTTTTTATAAAGCTTTTTTATTGACTGTTGAATCACACCTATAGTCCTATATTTTAATAATCGTTTGTATCAAACATATACAGAGTAGTTAGTTGTTTATGTTTACAAATTTAAAAAAAAAACATTAACTGATCTCTACTCCCAATACATGTGAATTTTCCCACATTTCATTTG